GGAGTGTATGTACTGGGCAAAGATTCGTTCAACAAGGGAAGAGAAGAATAGGTACATCAACATCTCTTGAGGCACCAACAGTATGAAAATCGAGAGAGGAGAAAAATCAAATCCTAAAAGACTTCATGTCAATCAGCTCTAATTTCAATTGTTTACAATGGTTTAATCTCATGTTGAAAGCAGTATTTTCTGAAAAAATAGTCAAATACTTTGTGTCTTAACCCTTTAAACTATGTTTACATTACATAGTTTACATTTTTTTTTTTTTTGAGTTGGAGTCTCACTCTGTCACCCAGACTGGAGTGCAGTGGCCGCTCCCGGCCACTGCAACCTCACCTGCTGGGCTCCGGCGATCCTTCCGCCTCAGCCTTCCAAGTAGCTGGAATTACAGGCATGCGCTACCATGTCCGGCTGATTTTTTGATTTATTGTAGAGATGAGGTCTCGCTGCCCAGGTGGGTCTCAAACCCGCGGGCTCAGGCAATCCACTCACCTCAGCCTCCCAAAGGCGCGGGATTACAGGCTGAGCCACCGAGCCCGGCTTCATAGTTTACATTTTTAAAAAGTTATTTGTGGTTTCATTTCCATAAAATCCAATATATTGCAAAGATTAAGAAAACAGAGTTTGACATTCAAAACATACTTTACAGCATTTAAATCCAGTGTGGCATACAAGTAATATAAGCACTTCATCCGTTCTGTAGTTTCCAAGTTGTGGGGAACCATGTACTGAGCAAAGATTCGTTCAACAAGTAATCTGCAAGATAGCAGAGAAGGCACTGCATTAATTTTCTGTAATGTACTAAATATGATACAAAATTCCTACATAAGTACATAAAGAATACATATTAAAGAAGTTCCTGCTTTCCTGAATGGCAATTAGATTTCTAAATCAAAAGCTTCTTTTTGTGGAAAGAGGGCACAATAAAAGAATTTACCTAGAGAAAGTGGAAGCAGCCCTATCTATCTCTAGCAAAGACAACTATCAGTTTTATTACCTTGGGCAAGTTATAGATCAGGGATTAAAAAACTACACTAGATCCTTCAAAATGCCACGTTCTAAATTTCTGTTAAGTTAAAACTAAAAAGACATGTTTAATATTCTTTTGAGTTTCCACAGGGATCATTATGAAAAAAGATCTGATTAAAAGTACTAAAAAGAGTCCCAGCAAAGGATAATATAAGTCTTTTGTGCACTGATGCCATATACTCAAAAAGTACAAAAACTTCAATTTTATCAAAATAAAGTTTCTTAAAGTTAACCTAAGATACTCAGTTTCTATATTTCTTAAACATTTTAAATAACCTACTGTTTCTTAATATTCTCACTGTCATCTGCTACAAGCAAGATCATTTGTATTCTGCTAATAATTTGTCAAATCAATTCAGACTGTAAACAAGATATATAGCTCTATTAACTACTAAATGACTGACATGCATACCAGATCCAATCTTAGCCAATGAAAAAAATATTAAGAATATATTTAGATGTGTTTTCATATAAATTTATAAACTGTTTTTCAGCTTTGAGCAGATACTGCTTTTACTTAAAATATCTACAATTTAGTGAGTTTATTTGTATTTGAATTTTACTTGAAAAAAATTAATGAAGATTCTTATAACACAATCACCTGTGAAACAAAATTAAAATTATAACTATACACATTTCGACTTTTAGATATTACTCTGTTCAAATTCACTGTACAAAAATGAAAATATAAAAACTGTACCCATTCCTAAAGTCATATGTATGTTACAGTTTCAATTGTAGCTTTGATAGAAGGAAACTAGTCACTTACTACCATTACCATCTATTAAAAACCGAGGACACAGTTTAAAGTCATAAAGAAAATAATCTGCATAAAACAACACATTTAAGTAATATAACACTCAAAGTCACCAAACATACACCGGGTCCTTAACTTACCGATCATCAATACTATTTTGATAATAAATATGTAGCAATTTGTCTTTGATCCATGATATCTGTTTTGCAGCATCTTTTCCAGCTGCTGATTGTAAAGCATATTTCTTATAAATTTGGGCAAGTCCCATCATGGCTTCTTTGCGCACTCTCCACTTAAAATAAAAACAAAAAAGTTTTCTTTATACCGTAAAAATGTTTCTATTATATAAATTTAGGAAAGTCTATTTTCCTACATTTTTGTTGTCTTCTCCTTATACAAGGAGTTGTATCTAAGGCCTTTACTAAAGTCCCTTACCATTAAACTAGTGTACATAGACTAAACATCTGATTACCATAAAGAGCTGTCTTATTTTTAGGATGAGAACTAATAATCTTAATAAAGAAAAACTAATAAAATTTAATGTAACAAAAAGTAAAGCCTTCTCATAAATGTAATATTAAATATTGATATACCAAAAAAAGGGTTAATTACATTTAAATCTCAGTATTTTTTAGTGAAATGCTATTAAACTTCAAGTATTAAAAATGAAAACCTACTAATAATTATTTTCTTTTACTTACCCGCTTGTCTAATGTTCTCTCTCTCACAAAGTTAAGTAAGTGATCATTGACCAGAAGAATATCCTTTTTAGCAGCTGTAACTATAGACACAATAACATCATGCCTAATAGCTTCCTCAGGGTCATGTGACCTCACTTTAAGATACTCTGAAAGATAAGATTTTTAAAAAATTAAAATGGAAACTTTAACATTAAAATGTTGTAAAAGATTCTTGCTTGGGCAACATAATGAGACCTTGTTTCTACAAAAAGAAAAAAAATTGTTAAAAATTAGCTGGGTGTTGTGGTATACACCTGCAGTCCCAGCTACTCAGGAGCGGCGACATAAGGATTGCCTGAACCCAGGAAGTCGAGGCTGCAGTGAGGTGTGATCGTGCTACTGTACTCCAGCCTGGGCGACAGAGTGAAATGCCAACTCAAAATATAAAAAATGAAATAGAAGACTGCATAAGACCTTTGAAAATAAACCTTAGCAAACAGAATACTTAAGTAGGAAGTTCAATATTTCAAGAAAATTAAGGGCAAGGAAAGAAAAGAAAGAAAGAAGAGGAGGAAGTTCCTTCAGTCAAAATACAGTAGCTATGCCCAAGTGGGTAGTAAACTCCTCCACTCCATCTGGTAGACTGGGAAGTTGATTAAGGAATTTCTAACCTCATTAATTAAACAAACAATATAAATGAACGAACATTTCATTGTTTTTCATTTAAATGGATAAAACATGCAAGTTAAATGGGCTACTAGGAAAAGGCTAGAGTACTCATGTTTCCATCCCTTAACTGGGGAAACCCTTGTCAGTAACTACAGAATAAAACTGAGATACTGGCTGCCAAGAAACAGGACAAGAAAACTCATAAGGTCATGTCACTTACTGAACTAAGAAAAGCCAATGGGAAGATAGAAAAAATGAAAAACATTTAACAATTATGAGTATCTGGAAGAGGTTCTTAAAGTCAAAAACACAGGAGTTCACACTGGGCACTGAGTGAGCTGGGAAAAAACAATTAACCACCCCCAGTAACAATAACTTAGGCTTAAGGAGGAGCTACCATAACAGTATGAATTTAACAAATAAAATTTATTCATCTTTCACATGAGTCCAGTAAAATTTGCTTGAATCTGGATTAATAAAAATAGCCATGTCTACATGCACAGTATTTATGATTGTGAGTAGATTTACTTCTCCATAAATTAACAGTTTAACATATAACTAAAACACAAATATCCACAAAACTATTGGTCAAGTCTTAAGCTCCTCCATCTTGCGCATTCTCTATAACAACAAGTATTCTGAAACTGAGTAAGACCATGTTGCTTTAAAAAACAAAACAAAAAACTAAACAAACACAAATGTTATCTTACCTAACCCAGTAATGGAAGCTTTTAGTATTATGACTTCAAATACAACATGTTAAATAGTTCTCGATTTCATTTCTTCACTAAGAGAAATACAGGAGTTTTATACCTAACTGTACTTGTTTCACATGCAATACATATTGTTTTATCGGCCACTAAGAAAGAAAAAAACCAGCCGGGTTCGGTGGCTCAGCCTGTAATCCCGCGCCTTTGGGAGGCTGAGGTGAGTGGATTGCCTGAGCCTGCGGGTTCGAGACCCGCCTGGGCAGTGAGACCTCATCTCTACAATAAATCAAAAAATCAGCCGGGCGTGGTAGCGCATGCCTGTAATTTCGGCTACTCGGAAGGCTGAGGCGGAAGGATCGCTGGAGCCCAGCAGGTCGAGGCTGCGGTGGCCGGGAGCGGCCACTGCACTCCAGTCTGGGCGACAGAGTGAGACTCCGACTCAAAACAAACAAACAAACAAACAAAAAAACAAGAAAAAAACCACTGAATGATAAACCATCAATTTTAAGATATATGGCAATGTCTCTAAAATTAATTGCTCATGTTAAACAGGTATGCCTAAGAACTTAACTCATAGGTATTAAGGAAGAAGAGATAACAGAAAAGAAAGATAAAATTCTCAATGACAAGCATGACAAAGCACCTACAAAATACTCTTCACAATATGGCTTTGTGCCTCAAAGGCACAAGGATAAATCTCACAAATGTACTACTAAGCAAAAAGTAAGATAAATGTGTGAGGGTGTGTATAACACATATTTCTCTCTACTCTCTCTTGAAGCCCTACTAAAAAAGTTTTTTTTAAAGTTCAAAAACAAAAAGAGATCACAACAAAAGAGATTTGTCAACAGCATTCTGGCAGATGAATAATGAGTAAATGCCACAGGAAAAGGATGAAATATAATGAGAAAAAAATAATAATAAAAAGTAAACAAGCTCATTTCCAAAGTAGAATCCTGAAAATGGTTAGAAATTCAAGGCACCAAGAAAAAAGAGATGATGACTGCAGCTGACAACAAAAGGAGCAGCTGAAAATCTGCATGAAGAGTTAGTAAGACCTCTAGACTTTTCAGAGCTACCTTTTAGCCAACCATAAAGAGGATGAAGGACAGAATATCATACAACATATCAACATAAATATTCCATTAACAGTGAAACTACATTCTATATTTAGGAAAGCAAAACATTTGAAACAATGTAAGGACTAAAAAAGCTGGAGTGAAATTATGCACATCTAAAGTATATTTTAGACTGTTATATGAAAAAAAATCAAAACATAAATCTATTATTTAGCCAACAGCAAACCTTACATTGATGTCTAACAATGAAAAAATATTTTATACTTTAAAAAAGGGAAGACATCAGGCAGGGCATGGTGGCTCACACTTGTAATCCCAACAGTTTGAGAGGCAGAGACCAGAGGACTGCCTGAGCCCAGGGGTTCAAGACCAGGCTGGGCAACTGGGCAAGACTTTGTCTCCACAATAAAGCAAAAACAAAACACAACACAACAAAACAAAACAAAAGTCAGGCATGGCGGTACACACCTGTGGTTCCAGCTATTTGGAAAGCTGAGATGGAAGGATCGCCTGAGCCCAGCAGGCTGATGCTGCAGTGGCTGTGAGCCTCCCACTGCTCTCCAGTCTAGGTGACAGAGTGAGACTTCAACCACCACCACCCCCTCAAAAAAAGAAAAGAACTAAAATATATAATAACTACTATAAAATAATTTTTAAAACAATCACATTTTTATTTTTATTTTTTGAGTTGGAGTCTCACTCTGTCGCCCAGACTGGAGTGCAGT